ATTTGTTTGCAGTATGTTTGCAGGCTGTTTTCTCTATTGCCTTACTTTTCGGTTCTGCCACCTCAGAGGCCCGAGGGTTCAGTAGGTAACCCTGAGTGGGTTTTCTCTAAGTGACCCTGAACTCGGACTTTCTGAAAAGCGGGCACCCAATTTGTTTCCCTCTCGCTGGAGGAGCAGCCTTGCTTTCTCCGCCTGAGTCTGGGATTGAGTGACGGGCCTACCCGGGCGGTTGTGAGATGGTCGGAATGAATCACATGGCCAGACACAGGTGCAGCAATGTTGTCAAAGGGAGGGAGAGGAACGTGCTCAGAGAGGTCACAGGTGACCATCTCCCAGAGGTCCCCTCTCCAACCGAGGTCACAGAAGTGTATTTATGGTGCTGGGATGTGAAACTTTCTGTCACTAGAAGGGGGCTCAGGAAGAAGATTATAGTCTTTCCCCTAACAGGATGAGAGCCAATGAAGGCTGCTTTGGGGAGACTTGCATTTCTTGGGGTTTCTGCTTCAGCCTTTGCAAGTCCTTGAAGCTAATGCAAACCCCCTTCACAATTCATGTTCCGGGCCTGTATTTGCTTAGGCCGGGAAGCGTTATATTGCTGATGGACAATTCATGAAGCTTTTTATTTGGTCTTTGACAATTCAGTTGGTGGTGTCCTGGTGATTAGATTTTTTTCCCGGCTACAACCCTCTGGTGCTGGTGTGGGTTTTTCCATAGTGCTGGGTGTGCTTATTGGGAATGACCGAACAGGAGACGGGACCTTTTAAAATGATTACATTTGTCATTTTGCCACACTCCAGAGAGTAGCAGGGGGGAGAGCCAGAGGTGTCACTGTCCATATGTGAAGGCAACTTAGGGTGGGGGCATTCCCTTTACCTCTTGTCTGTCTGACAGGGGTCATCCTGCCCCCTCCTCCCACTCTGACACACACTTCTTCAAACAACTGCTCCAACCCAGAGCGGGTAAGAATGTCTAGTCATTTGACCTTGTCTTTCGTGGCTCAGGTAGCAGATGTGGGCTTTTGGGTATGATGGGATATCAGGAATAAAATAGGCTGGAGAGTGTGCCACTGTGTCAGAAGAAGTGGGCACCTTTGCCCCTTCCAGGTTGATCCCGGCCATCCCTTCAGTTTCCTGAAGGGACCTCGCCCATGGCCAGGACCTGCCCTGGGCACCTTTTCCATTTGCTTGGTCTAATGCTGTTCTTGGCACCTTCCAGACCCTCCTGTCCTCTCTCTAGGGTGGACCTAAGATGTGCTCTCTGCCCCAGCCCTGGCCCCTGGGAGAGAGGAGCGCGGCCTTTGCCTGGCATCTGGTCCATCCCCAAGGGTGCTCTGTGGCATTGTGGAGGTCTTCTTGCCCTTCGCAGGGGTCTTACCAACTCAACCCTGGAAACCTTTATCTCCCTGGGCTGGTTTCTGCCCTGAGCACATTCACTGGCTAGTTGTAAGCCTGTGGACCATTCCAGAAAGCCTGTCTTTTTGTTTGTTTGTTTGTTTGTTTTTACTCTTTGTTGTCACTTGAGCCCCAGGTGCATGTGGAATACCAATGGCCACTGTTCTGCCGTGTTCCATATTCTATCTGGTTGCTTCTACCAGCTCCTAGCAGACACTGAGTTCTTCCTGTCTCTGGACCCTGCCTGCCCTAATCCCTCCCTGAGCTCCCATTTCCAGTCTGGAGAGACTGTCCTCAGCTCCTGTGGAGAGCAGGGCCAACCGGCAGGCCAGAGGCCATATGGTCAGGGAAGGAGCTGGCTCTTCCTGGCTCCGGTGGCCGTCACTGCCTGCTTTCCTAGGACTCGCTGATGAGTTACTCAGGTGCCCTCCAGGGAGGGATCTCCGGGAGCCAATTATTCCCGTTTATTTAATATCTCAAAGTATCTTAAGCACAAAGAACAATAGCAGCCCCCCCACCGCCGAGGCCTGAGGGTAGCCTGCCTTTGAAGCCTCCGGTGCCCAGGGGGAGACACTTGGGCCTGGCCCATGGTTCCCTCCTGCCCCCTTGACAGTTGAGCCCCCCAATGCCCCATTAGAGGATTAATTCCTGTGCTCATAATTGATGCTATAAATAAAATCAATCCTCATTTATCTCAGTTAACAGAGGGAAGGGATAACGCAGAACTCCCAATATTAAATAAGACCAACACATCTTATTCGGGGAATTAGTTTGGGAATGTATTCTGTGTCGCAGGCTTTTTCAAAGCCGATTTCCCTTCTTAACTTTGTTTGACTTTGCTTGATATCACAACTGGCCTGGTGCCTGAGCTCATCTGTGGGTGAAGCTCTGGGGGGCGGGGAGAGGGGCAGAAGGGAGCACCCGGGGAAGAAAGCCTTGTGAGCAGGCATCCACCAGGGCCACTGAGGGCCAGCTCCAGGCCCAGCTACAGGCCTGAATAAGATGCAGTCCTCTTGGATATCTTAGGGAGGGGAAACGGGGCTTGGGAAGGGAAATGGACAGCGTCACTCCTGGTGAGATGGCCCGAGGCTGCCCATTGGCTTGGTTATGTAATTGAGACAACCTCTACCACCCTGTGCCCTGTGATGAGAAAGCTTTGACACTGTCCAAAAATCACTTTAACGAGAACAGAATCAATTTTTACGTCTTCCAGGCATGAAGCAGCCTCCGGGTTATTTGCATTTCCCTTTAAAACCTAATCCTGGAGGGGACTAGCCTGAGGTTTCAGGAGACAGGAGCTGAGCCTGGGGGATCAGTACAGGCACAGCTCAGAATGGGGTACTTGATCAGGCTCCCGGGGGCAGAGGCGGAGAGGTCTGTTTGTGTTAACCCTTCAATCCGTAAAATTCTAGCTGCACCTTCATCCACAGCCTCTGGGTTCCACCAACTCTCGTTCCAGCTCCCAAGTGCATTGGCCCGGGACACTGCTCAGTAGTGCCCGCCTGGATGGCAGTAGGCCCCTGCCCGGAGGATCTGATCCTAATGCACTTACTGGGAATTAATGGCCTCAAGGTCTCTTCTTGGTTTGCCATTTTTTAAGTTCTCTGGTGCTGAAATTCCTAAGAGAGGGTGCAGACCTGCATCCCAACAAGGAGTCATTCATTCCCTCGAAATTTATTGAGTGCCTCCTGTGAGCCAGGCAGCAGGGTCGGCTCCGAGAATACATGGGCCCTGCGATTGCACGTCAGCGCAATCAGTGTAAGGGACCCACAAAATGAATGGAATGAGACTCCGTTCCCTTCCTTTGAACCAGAACAAGGGAGGGCGGGAAGAGCAGTAGACCAAGGGTCAGAAGGGGCCTTTACTCCTTTCCGCCACCCCAGGGGCTGGCCCTCACTCCGCTCCGTGTCTGGGTAACTCCCACCATCCTTCAAAACTTAGCCCTCCAGGAGGAGGCCTTCCCTGCCCTCTAGGAGCTAGATACGCCCCACCCTTGCCCCCATGGTGGCCCTTGAATATCTCTGTCTTGTCAATTGCCACATCTTATTAACTTTATCTGCTTATATGTCTTTCCCCCAGGATGTGAGCTCCTCAAGGTAGATCTTTGTCCGAAAGATCATTGTATCATCAGTGCCTAGCACAGGGCCTGGTATGCAGTAGCCTCAGTAAACATCTGTTCAACCAAATAAGTGTGTGCCCCAGCTTACCCATCCCCAGCTTTCCCATTTCCTCACCATCTCCCGGCCATTGTAAGAACCAGTGAAAGTGCTGCCCATGTGTTGGCTAGACAGGACACCTGTGGGCAGGGTGGTGCTGAGGAGCCAGGCAGGGCATTCTCTCGTTCTGATGTCGGCCTTAGCAGGGTTGGCACTTTCTTGCAAGGGTTAGTTTAAA